GCGGCGACGGAGCCCGGGGCCCCTACCCCTGCCCCGGGAGGCTGGCCCCTCGGTGTGGGCGGGATGTGGCTCCTCACGCCAGCCGGGGCGCGCCACAGGCCGCCGCAGCGCCATGTTGGCGGGTGCCCGTCTCCCTCCGCCGGGTGAGCGGGCCCACGAGCTCGGCCTTGCCCGCCCGCCCTCGACGCTGGCTGTGTCGGCTGCCTCTTCCCGCGCCGAGCTCTCGGTGTGTGTCCCCCAGCCTCGCCGGGGCTTGTGGCTCGCACTGGCGGGAGCCGCGTACCGCGGCAGCCGCCGACTCATCCCCTCGTGGGCGCGCTGCCGACCCCCTCCCCCTTCTTAAAAGGGCAACGGCAAGCGGCCGTCCTCGCGCCGGGCCGGGAGCGCTGGATTTCGGGCGGGCCTCTGCTGGGCTCGGCTCCTGGACTAGGCGGCCTCTGGCCTCCCACGTGCTCGAGAGCTGCCCGATGCGGCCGGCTGCGCGCCATCCGGGGTGTAGGGACCGGAGGCCCGCGCTAGTGCAGCGCGGCTGCGTGGGCGTGGGTCCGGCCTGTGGGAATCGCCCCTTTCGTCTCCCGGGTTTGGCGCGGCTGCCCGCCGCCGCGAGCTCCCCGGACCGGCGCGGGGCCAGTTAGTGCCGCGGCCGGGTGCCCCCGTGGGCGAATGGTTTTCCCGCCGAGGGCCTCCTGCCGCGCTCCGGGCTAGCGAGCAGCCTGGTTTCGTGTCCTCAGGCGGCTGTGGTTAACAAGTCGCGAACTTGTGGGAATTCGTCGACCAGGGTTTACCTGGTGTGCTCGACGTTTTATATCCTTGCTCCCTAGTCCTTGAGGTCACCAGTAACGCGGGGCGGACCGGGATCCACCGCACGGCACTGTTGCTCCCTGCGGGCCCGTGAGGGTGGGCGGCTCCGGGGATTCGGAGAGGGAGGGTCGCGGGCGTTCTTACGACCTTCCGTCAGACATTTTGTGCCCGCCACGTGCTTGCCTGTCGCATGGGCGCCCAGCTCACGCCGGAAAACTTGAGGAGAGGCGTTCTCACCTTGAGGTGTTCATTCGAGACTTTTCCATTGCGGCGTAATTGCAAATCCGTAGAATATGGAGTAGCTCAAATTAGCCAAAGTGGCCGCAAGAGAAGTACACACGTGGGGCTTCAGAAATGCTATAAAATCTAGAAGTTGAATTTTTTGGGATATGTTCAAACTGAAGGTCTGTAAAATTCTGCAGAGTAGAGTTCCTTCTGGGAAATAACAGTTGATCTGCCGTTCTCCTTAGATGATGTTTTCATATATGAACGAATATTGCTTTAAAAATTCATGTATATCTGCAGGTGTTTTTGTTTTTTGAGACTGAGTCTTGCTCTGTCATCCAGGCTGGAGTGCAGCGGCACGATCTCGACTCTCTGCCTCCCGGGTTCAAGTGATTCTCCTGCCTCACCTTCCCGAGTAGCATTTTTAGTAGAGACGGAGTTTTTCCTTGTTGGTCAGGCTGGTCTTGAACTCCCGGTCTGAGGTGATCCACCGGCCTTGACCTCCCAAAGTGCTGGGATTACAGGCGTGAGTGAGCCACTGCGCCTGACCGGGTGTTCATTATTGAGGTAATCAACTTCACCCTCTTGCCAGTCAGGCCAGAGCCATTTAATTCAGCTAAATTAAAAATTTTCTCGGTCATACCATCCACATTTCAAGTGCTCAAATGTGATAAGTGGCTCGTGGGTGGTGTGTTGGGCACCACTGGCCTGCAGAATCCATTGCTTTATTAAGGAAGCATTTGAAGCCTGAGAATCCATTGAGGTGGCGTAGTGCCTTTTGCACTTGGGAGTTTGTGAGGCCTTGACAGTGGGTTGCGGGAGCCTGCCGAGATTATGGGTGTAGAGGAAGGTTCTCTTAGGGACTCCAATGGGAGATTGAGACCAGTGGGAGTTAGGTACCCAATTGGGCGAATATAACTTTGACCTAAAACTGCAGGGTTTTCAGGAAAACATGCTGTATGTAGGTTTTGAAGTGAATTCTATAGGGTTTAAAGCGTGTTCTACAGAGACATCGTCCTAAAGGCAAACAAAAAGCTCCAAGATCACTCCTTTAAAAATCACACTCAGCTAGTCACATACCTTATTTGTGATGTGCTAAAACATACCATAAACACCACAGAAATTGGTGACATTTTCAGCTGCTGCACAGCGGGCTTGGCCTCTGCGATCCGGCAGATTTGTCATTTGGGGAAACATGAAGAAGCCATTCCCCAGTTGAAGGTAGTATGCTGTACTGTTGTAGTATGAATGGGATGCTCTGAAATAAATACACAGCAGTGTCCCATGGTTGACCCTAATGATTTTGAAGTCAAGTGAGATGTATGTTTGAAAAGGGTAAATGTGTTCTTTTGTTTAAGACTAGATTGTAAATGTGTTCTTTTGTTTAAGACTAGATCGGCTTTTATTGTGTATATGGATTTTTGTTTTTTAAATTGGAGTTTGAAGAAGACCCTAGTAACACTTTTGTTCAGTTGGGCTCATGTATTCTGACAACGGAAGACAACAGAGTAAACACAAAAGTGTTACTAGGGCCTTCTAAAGTTCACCTATTACTATATCCCTGTTCCTTATAAACAAAAGTATGCTCATTTCCCTAAGGGGTGAGGGATTACAGAATTTGATTTCTTTTTCTAAGTCCAAAACAGCGCTTATATCAGGGTGCATTCTCATAGTGGAACAAAATGGTCTAAGATGGCATTTTAAAATAATCTTCATGAAAAATGGTGGTTACCATTTAAAAACATTTTATAGACAAGGATAGGAGACATTTTGTATGACAAGGAAGTATTTTATATAAAATATTGTCAGTTCACTGAGAGTAAATTGAACCGTGCTGGAATATACCATATATACACCATGGAAATTGGAGGTCTTGTCAGTAAGATGAGAAGACACTGACATGGAGTAGCAAGATATAAACCACATTGAGTTGTATTCCAAAATTAGAAAAGAATACCTGTTCTTTATGTGGGATTCTTATCCTTCCATTAAACTGAACATGTGCTCTGTTAGAAGCACCTCATTAACCACGCATCTGGGGACAATCAGCCTTCCTATCAGCTCTGAGTTTTTCATTCAAAGTTAGAAAGCCAAGCAGTTCCTTAATGTAGCTTGCAATCTATGCCGCTGTGAAATGCTGGTGTGCTGTATGCTGGAATGTGACATTTCATATACCGAAATAAAAGCAGTCTTAATGTAGTTCCAGTTTACTGGGGAAAAATGTAGATTGTCTTTAACTTTCATCTTTTTTGGATCTACACCCTCTCCCCAGATTTTGACCTCTTTTGTTGTGTCTATCGTGATGTTTGAGCTGAATCAGATATTCTAATTGGTTGCATAGCAACTAATTGGGTTTTTTTTCCCTTGTATAAATAATACATATTTGTTGAAGAAAACTAGATATAGGTAGGTCAAAAATATTGTAGATAAGCAAAAAAATAGATGTCATACATGCCTTACCTACCATCTAGACACTAGTGTATAGTCTACCAGAATGTTTAATTTTTGTCTAAACTTGGTTCATGCATATAATCCGGATACTCAGTTGTTGCTTTTTTTTTTTTTTTTTAAAGAAAAAATACAGTGAACATCTTCATCTGTGTGTCTTTATTTTATGGACTTCTTAATGCCTGCATAGATCATAATTTAAACATCCAGGTTGTTCACAGGGATTTTGGGTGTTTTAAATACTGCTGAAATGAATATCTTATAATATGATTCCCCCACCCCCGCCCCCACTAAATTGCTTCTCAGAATGGTTCCCTTCTTTACATAACCACTAGTAGGATATGGGTGTTTCCTTCTTTAACGTCAACAGTTCTGCTACCTAAACACATTTGAGACCCCCTAGTATAAACCTGTTCTAAGCTGGGCGCAGTGGCTCATGCCTGTAATCCTGGCACTTTGGGAGGCTGAGGAGGGTGGCTTACCTGAGGCCAAGAGTTTGAGACCAGCCTGGCCAACATGGCGAAACCCCATCTCTACTAAAAATACAAAAATTAGCCGGGGAGTGATGGCAGGCGCCTGTAATCCCAGCTACTTAGGAGGCTAAGGCAGATTTGCTTGAACAGTGTTGGGATGGGGCAGAGGTTGCAGTGAGCCAAGCTCCACTTTACTCTTGCATAGGTGAAAGAGCAAGACTTTCTCAAAAATAAAAATATTTTTTAAAAACTGTTCTTATTTTGAAAATATTCTTTTAAAATAACCGGTAGAGGATATGAACACTGGTTAACTTGGAAGGATGGAAATTGCAAGGATGGCAGGAGTTACTTTCTATATTTTTGGATTATTTCACTTACTATAATAACCAGTATTATTCTAATTAAAAGAGTTGACAACTCAGAATGATCTTTATCCATACTTTTTCCTCCCTTTATGGCAGAAACAACTGGTATAATTGGAGAGCATCACCCCACCAGTTAGGTAGTTGATCTTTTTTCATAGTAGCTAGGGGAGTGGCAAATGGGCAAGCTGGAGAGTATGAAAGGAAAAAAAATGTTTCCATATCCTGTGGCCTCAGCTCCAATCTCTAGGGTCATTCCCTTGACCTAGACTCATAAAGAAGGACCTCATAGACATTTAGGAATTTGCCATTTAGAGCTTAAAATGTGTTTTGTCTTTCATAGAAAGTGTTATAAATTATTGTTATATCCTCCAAGTAGATCTGAAAAGGTATTTGGCCACAATATAGTTCAGATTTTTCAATGAAAAAGCGATAGGAAACTACTGTTTTGCTGGTAACTGTAGAAAACAAATATAAGACTTAAGTAGAAGATAGTATGGATTTTTTCTTTTTCATTTTTAAATGTTTACCTTAAATTTGTGTTTGAGAAAAGGCAAGTTTAATTGGAGGATGAGGGAAGAAGAGGAGTGAATTTGGCCCCAAAAGTTAAACTGTCCATCTACAAGCAGAAGACCAGTTAACAGTTAACTCTTAGATCAAATAGATTAAGATGTACGCACAAACGAACAAGTGTCTGCCTAACTTTTCTTCATTAGACAGCAGCCCTGGGGGGATTTGAGATATAAGAAGAAATTAGGGCCTTTTCTCCTTGGATTAGGGTTTATTCTGAATCTAGATTGGGAAGCTGTGTGATCATTGACCCCAGTCTCACTCACTGTCTCAACCATACTCTTCCAAAGCTGTTGTCTCCTTTGCACGGCAGTCTGGATCTCTATACCTAGGAAGGAATGAGGAAGAGATGAGGCTTAGTTACCTCTGGAGATCCACTGAGAACCCCAGAGTTGATATAAAGATTATTTTAAACTGAAGACATTTGAGATTCAACAGATGCAGAGAGAAGCTTACTTGGAGTTTATCTGGCTAAAAGCAAATACATGTCATAAATGAGGGCTGACATAAATTATCCCTTTGGAGTGAGTCTGTTCCCAGGAGAGAGGCCAAGAGTAAATCTCTGGAGGGGGAGAGGATAGTCTTATGGCCCTAAGAAAACAAAGACTACTCATACCTATGGAGATAGACATTGTAAACTCGATCTCTCATTTGTTCTCCTAAAAATCCCATTTGTGTTCCCTAAAGAAATCTGTTCTTTCCAAAAGAGGTTTTTCTCCTCCTATCCTTTCCTCTTCTAAGCTAGTTATATAAGCCCTAAATTCTGACTACTTGGTTACTTATTACTGCGTGTGAGTACACATGTGTATGTGTGTTGCACATATAAATACACTTTTTCTGCACCTCAAATGCCACTTTTTTGCCACTAAAAGGATATCTGAGCACGGAGTACCTTTTCACCAAGGTCCTGTTGAGAACTTGAACTACCTTGAAGTTGGCTGATAGAACATTTAGACCTGCTATCCTTGGGTGCAGCCCTCTGGTGGTCTCTGTTTTATGCAGTAATGCCCATTCTCCTCGGTGCTTACTCCCCAGTTGGCTCACTATGCTTCTAGGGATAGCATGTTTCTTTACATTCTCAGCCTTCCTGGAAAAGTCAAGGGACATGCCTTTTCTGCCTAGCCCAACAGCTCTCTGCCCTATTTATCCCAGTATATATTGTTGCCTAAAGGTCTCAGGTATACATTTCCTGAACTTCTCGCTGTCACTTAACAAACTCGCCTACATTTGTATCCATCCTAGTCATCTCTCTTAGCTGTCCCACCTCCAATAAGAATAGAATGATACCTCATTTTTAATACGCAGTTTTTGTTATAATCAAACCTTTTTTGGGGGGGGTGGGGGAGACAGTCTTGCTGTTGCCCTGGCTGGAGTGCAGTGGTCCAATCTCGGCTCACTGCAGCCTCCACCTCTTGGGTTCAAGCATTCTCCCGCTTCAACCTCCTGAGTAGCTGGGACTATGGGCACGTGCCACCATGCCCGCTAATTTTCTTTGTATTTTTAGTAGAGATGAGGTTTCGTCGTGTTGGCCAGGCTGGTCTCCAACTCCTTACCTCAGGTGATCTGCCAGCCTTGGCCTCTCAAAGTGCTGGGATTATTTATAGGTGTGAGCCACCATGCCCAGCCAAACTTTTTTTTTTTTTTTTTAACTGGGTCTCTGTCACCCAAGCTGGAACATTAGTGGCATAATAATGGCTCACTGCAACCTGGACCTCCTGGGCTCAAGTGATCTTCCTGCCTCAGGCTCTCAGGTAGCTGGGACCACAGGCATGTGCCGCCATGCCCAGCTAATTATTTACTTTATTGTAGAGACAAGGTCTTCCTATGTTGCCCAGGTGACTCTCGGACTCCTGGGCTCAGGTGGCCCTCCCACTTTTGCCTCCCAGAGTACTGGGATTGTAGGTGCTAGCCACAGCACCTGGCCTTGAACAATATTTTTTAGTATTGATTATTTGTGTCTTTCAGAGCTTGTCTGCCTTTTTTTAGTGTTTCTACTGGGGTATTTTTTTCTTACTTAGGGTAAAAACAATAGAAGATACCCTCAAGAACAAGATAAATGCAAATAGCCGGAATTTCCATAATCGAGAGGTTACAAAAAGTAACAGTCAAATAAATTGGAAATAATTTTGCAGCACTTAAAGTTAACTACTCATTTAAAAGAGAAGTTGATGTTTTAAATAAAGAACTTTTAAGTAATAACAGACTCAAATGTTTGTATTCTTTCACTTAGCAATGGATTCTAAAGACACAGTCTTAAATACAGAAGACATTTTAAGTAAAAAGATATGGTAGGGAAAATGAAGCACAAATGTTCAACAGGGAGGATTGTACAGTGATATATCCATACACTAATTTCTTTAGCCGTTGAAAAATACTCTGTAATCAGAAAGTTGGTCCCCTTTATATCCAAGTTTTCATCTTAGTCCCTCACAATTAAGACACAGACCTCTGTACAGTATTGCTGACAAACGTGTGACCCTTTTTTTTTCCTCATTCAGCAGTTATGTAGGCTCATATTCAGTGATACAGTGCTAACCAGAATATACATGACCCTGCCATTATGAAGCTTAGTCTAGCACTCTTTTGAGACAGAGGCTGAAGTGCAGTGGCACAATCTCAGCTCACTGCAACCTCTGCCTCCCAGGTTCAAGCAATTCTCCTGCATCAGCCTCCTGAGTACCTGGGACTACAGGCACATGCCACTATGCCTGACTAATTTTTGTATTTTTAGTAGAGATGGAGTTACCATGTAGGCCAGACCAGTCTCAAACTCCTGACATTAGGTGCTCCATCCTCCTTGGCCTCCCAAAGTGCTGGAATTACAGGTGTGAGGCACCACGCCCAGCCAGCAAAAACATGTTTTAACCCTAATTTGAGTCCTCTGGTACATTTTGATGACACCTTTACAATGGTTAAAGTGGAATTTTGCAGGTTGAAAGAAACGTCTTTAAGAGGTGATTTCACTCCATGAGCTGGGAGGCAATATGGCCAACTGTCACTTTACTTTTTGGATATTGGCGTCATTTTGTGTAACATTTTTGGATTATTTTGGACAGAATTATAGAAAATCTCCCAAGCTAAATGGGAACATTTTGATTGTATTGCAGTATACTGCTTTATATGGGTGGGTGATGACAGTTGACATTTTAAAAATTTTAATGGATTGTTGGTTTTATGGTTTAGTTTGGTTTAGTTTAGAAACTAATGGTTACTTTCTTTTTTTTTTGAGATGGAGTTTCACTCCTTTTGCCCAGGCTGGAGTGCAATGGTGCCATCTCAACTCACTGCAACCTCTGCCTCCCAGGTTCAAGTGATTCTCCTGCCTCAGCCTTCACAGTAGCTGGGATTACAGGCATGCACCACCACCGCTGGCTAATTTTGTATTTTTAGTAGAGATGGGGTTTCTCCATGATCGTCAGGCTGGCCTTGAACTCCTAACTACAGGCGTGAGCCACCGCACCCAGCCTAGTTTCTTTTTAATACAGAATTTTAAAAAAATACAGAATAAATACATGCTTGTAAAAAATTTAATACAGATATAAAAATACAGCAAAGTTCTCTGACATTTCCCATTACCTTTACCCAGAGTTTACTTTCTGGCCGTTTATAGTGTTCCAAGCCCTAGTTCCTACAATTTCATGAGGTAGGTACTGTTATGTCCACTTTATGGGAAACTGAGGCACAGAGAAGTGAACTGGCTCACACAAGGTTGTACAAGTTCTGAGTGGCAGAGGAGAACCAGGATTCGACCCCAGACATCTGTTTCCAGAGCCCAGCTTTTGTCAGAGTTGTCCTATTTTTTTCAGATGTGCTCATTTCTTATCAGAAAAAGGAAGAATGGCAGAGATATCTAAAGAAAAATGGAAGGGAGAAAGGAAGGAAGTAGATGTAAAAGGAGGGAGGGAAGAAGTATGTGGATGTAAAGAGTAAAACGTATGCCTGGCTTCTGAAGAGGAAGTAGACAGGGTAGTGAGAAGTGGTTAGGCATTTACTATGTTATGGGTATTGCTGACTTGAAATCTGTTTCTTTCTCTGTAAATGGGGGAAGGAGAGTGGTGGTAGAAGAATAAATGTTTACTTCATAATTGAAAGCAGTTATTAGAGTAGCATTATTGGATTTTGTATGAGAGGATGAGGACATTGTTAATAGCTCCTGTTCTCTTTTCAGAGTATCAGCATCTTCCATATACTTGCTTGATTAATGCCATTAAATATGGTAGGTTCACTAAAATTCTTTACAAAGGCATGCTGCCTTTGTTGGTGCAGTTAAAACGGTAATTTGCATCACTGTGAGTAGATCAAAGTGGGCTAAAAAAGTTGCAAGTTTCAGGGTGATCAAGAATGGCAATATGAATTATTGTGGTAGACCTGCATGTAGACTCTTAAATAATCACTTTTCAAAAATTCAAATCATCAGATGTGATGCTTTTTTTTTTTTTTTTTTTTTTGAGATGGAGTCTTACTCTGTTGCCCAGGCTGGAGCGCCATGGTGCAGTCTCAGCTAGCTAACTGCGCCTCCCAGGTTCAAGCAATTTTCCCACCATAGCCTCCCAAGTAGTGGGATTACAGGCACTTACCATCATACCTGGCTAATTTTTGTATTTCTGTAGAGAGAGGGTTTTACCATGTTGGCCATGCTGGTCTTGAACCCGACCTCAGGTGATCCACCTGCCTTGGTTTCCCAAAGTGCTGGGATTACAGGTGTTTGCCACTGTACCTGGCCAGATGTAGCCTGAAAATGAAAATTTATTATCTAACAGTTCTCTAGAAATATCTTTCTCACGTGCAACCCAGATTGATTTTTGTTTTGAATTAAGGACTCTTGCATCCTGATTTCTTCCCAGTGTCAAGATAATCTTGGCAAAGATTAATAAAACCAGAGTTGGAAAGTGTGTTGGTGCAGAAATCTCTAGCCAGAATCTCTTAGTGGTCTTGGTAGGAAAAATAAAGCTTTCCTCTTTTCTGTGGTCATCTTCTGGGCCTTAAGGTAGATTAGCCTAAAAAGTGTCTTCACTCTATATTTGTGTTTAAATGAAAGCTGCCCTTTGGGGAACAGACTGGGGAAAAGAAATAAGGGGAATACACTTACTTCACTTACATCTAAAGTATAGTGTCCATTTCTGGAAAATGATTGTTTTATACTCATGGAGTAATATTCCATCTTTGAATCTGTTAGTATATTGCTACTGAAGGCTTAATTATTTTTTATCTTTTTATAACTATGATCTAAGTCTAAGAGGCTGCCCATATATATGGGTGTTTTTGCAGGGTATTTACGGTAGAAGTTTTTGCATTCTTTGTTTTCAATATTTTTTTGAGAGCTTATTC